GGTGGATATTAGCAAACCACAAGAGTAGTCTAGTTCGCTATAGGGGATCTTTGGTCCGACCTGTGGAGGCTAGCTAGGCAGTCCAAGGGAGTTGAGTATTCGTGAATACAGAGTAGTGATGGAGAGCAACTGGCAGTATATGAAATCTACTTAAGTATATGCGAGTTCTCCTCTACTCTGGCAATCAACTACCTCTCGAGATCAGGACTTAATTGAGTAAAAGCGGTGGCTTAACGATATTAAGTTTTACCATTTTGTTTCTTCAAAACTCTACTGTTGAGACTTTTGACATTTATTATATTTATTCACTTTGCAGAAGAATTCATTTCGGTGCGGTCACAATCTTGGAATCCATCTTCCCAGAGGGACCTCCTGTTATATCTGGTCAGATGGACAGTAATGACGCATGGAGTATTACTCTAACATCTTCAATTCTATGACATTATAGTCACAGGACACAACTATGATAAATATGTATAATAACATACTGGCTCAATAAGGCAGTAGGAGGGTACTGTTGGAGAACAGAGATTCCAATTCCGAGTAGGATTACCCATCTTAGATTGGTTCCTAGGTATTGGATCTCAGTACTTCTAATATGAATATATCTCTATCTACGAAATCAAATCTCAATTAGCCTAGACGATCCTTAGTCAATCTAGGTTGTCTCCACATAATATTCATATCAGCTCTTAGAACTATTAATTATTAAATGCTATAATAATAAAGTATTTAAATAGGAAGTAAGAAAATATAATAATCCAAGGAGGATGGACTAGGTTTGTAATCAGCTTGATTAGAGAGACAGGAGTGTCTGAAAATAGTTTGGACTAATAAGTTTAGTTTTAGTACTACAGGTTTCAGTTATCAGGCTCAGGTTTTAAGATACTTGCAGCTGGAAGAGAAATACTATCCTGATTGTATCAATGAAGTAAGAGATTGAATCAGAAGACAGCTATAGTTTGGGGTATCTTTTGTAAAAAGTTAAAATCTCAACACAATGTTTTACTTCCCTGGACAACACTAGGCTTCAAAATGTATATCAGACATATTCTTACTCTACTATTCATGTCTTTTTGATAATAAACTCGTGAGTCCTATGTGTAGACTAAGGTTGTGGAAGATTGAGTAAATAACTATCAGAAATATGCTCTTTAATTCCATAGATTGAATAATTTAGGTACAATTTCTTGGTCTCTCTAATTTCCAGAGTTGAATTTAATTGAAGAACTCTTGACTGATCTGGAGGTAGAATCAGGTCAAGTATATGAAAAAGGTACAAATATTGATCTAATTCTCATGCTACATACAGCTTGTAATAGTATTTATCCAGAAAAGCTTCCTAAGCTTATCGATAGTATGCCATCGAGGTTTCGCTACTGTGATTGAAGCTGTGTAGACTGCCACTTTATATTAACCTTCAAGTCGTTTTACGCCCTGGGTACTATAGAGAACTACAGACAATGAGTATCAGGGATTCCGGAGTTCGGAGAATTGTATTTAGTCTTTCACTCAAGCATATTTCTTGTAAACCTTTTTTCAAGCTCTATGAAACAAAGTTCACCGTACTTTTCCCCCCCCTCCAAATTTGGACTCTTGACGGTGATATACAGCCAGTACTTCGTACTGGAACATCAGTGTTTGGTTCTCGTTGCCATACAAATTCTAGCCTATGAGGAAGAGTTCGCCGTACCCCCGCCCACACCCCACCGGTAGCACAATATAATATAATCTACCTGCACAACAATTAACCTGAAATCCCACCCTCGCTTGCCACACAGATACATACAGGCAGTCTACCCTGTTCAATCGAAATACATCATCCCTCCTGAGGCAGGAATTTATGGTAAATGTCTTCCAATCAGGACCTGGTATTGCTTGATAAGCCCCGGCTAACCGGCTACCATACCGTACTCCCGTGCGGCTCTTTCTACTCATGAACGCAGGGAGCGTAAAATAGCCACTTGGTCCGTGCTTTAATTTTTCGCATTCCCGGCAGTGGACTTCTCGCCTGATGGCTGGGGTGCCGAAATTAACCTACCGTACCGGTATTACAAGTATCTAACATCGCATACTTGTCACTGCCATCATCCATTCTAGTGCTGGAACGATCGGGTACCGGCACCGGCACCTCACGATCCGTGGGGCATGACCAGGAAGGGGCCCGCTGAAGAGGATTTTTCCGCTATGTTACGCCTGTTTTGTATCATAGCTGGTTTTGAAACCCTGGGTGTGACGAACAGTTCGTGGTGATTTAGAGACCTCGCCGGAAACTTTCTTTCATATTATGGTTCATGCCATCCAAAAAGTGCACGGGGAATTAGCATTTTTTTTAAATGATTATACAGCTCCGCCAAGTTAAAATATTGGTTCAAGAAAGCCTCTAGATCACTGGGAATACTAAGGAGGAGGATGTAGCGGTTTTTTTTGTGGGACTATTAAAAGTTGTGATGGTGAGATAGGGGCAGTAATTGAAAAGTTGCAGTCTGGTGCACGTTTGGGATGGCACGACCATTTCCTGCCAGGTCAGATATCATAATATCATACCATATCTGTTGTTGCTGTGTTTTCACCCGCTTTCCCTCCCTCCCGGCTTGGGGGATAGGGCACAGTGCCGTTAGAACCGGAACAAAATCTCACCCTAGGACGTTGGAGTTTCCTCTCCTGATAAGGTCATTGCACTTTTCTTTTTCTTTCCGTTCGTCCCAGCGGAGTGCTGAAGGTCATTTTTTTCCGGGGTGACCCCGCCTTTATCTGGGACTCCGGGCGTCTTGGAATGGGAGATCTGGTTGATACGGTAGGTTATCAGGTTGTTGGGTACGGTACAGCAGCCTATGATAGCACAGGGTGTTAATGGTAAGTGAGGTGAGCTTGTTCCCATCGGCTCCTAGCTGACTCGGGCAGCGAGGGGCAGAATATCATGCAATTTCTGTGGTTAGCGTTGTTTGTGTTCGCCTCATTTATCATACTCTCAACCTTCTGCACCATACAGGTAGGAGAATATACCGGTAATTTGACTTGAAGGAATAGACCAGACTATTCCCGAATAGGAAACTATAGGTACGGGGGAGTGATGGGGGGATAGTTTTGGTTGAACTGACTTGTTAGCGGCATAAGAAAGAGGCGGGCATTCTCCCCTGAAAAATTGCCCCGGGTTTTGTGGTGCGGTGAGAAGTCCATTTCAAGTTTATGGAGCTGTCTAGCAGCGCGGAGTGAAGGGGGGAATTGAATTGCGAGGGTTTAAACCGGTTGTTTGAAATAGAAGCTCCTAGTACTTTGCAGAACTATGCTTGAGTACCGGCCCGGTACACTGCCAGACCTAATTTGTTTTTTTGCACCGTGAGTATGATATCACAAACCTTCTCCCGCCATTTTCCTGTACCAGTTGGGAGTGCTTAGGTTGAGTTTCGGGCACCTGGGATAGCGAGGTGCGACTGTGTACTCTGGGGAGTACTGGTCCAGCGCAGTACTATGCGGTACAATACTCGGAAGAGTGGGATCGTTCTGAATATCTACCGAAACGACTGCATCAGAGCAAAAATCTCAAGCTGCAGGTCTTTTGGGGACAACAGCAACTGGGAGTACCTTCCAGGTATGATATCCTAAGAACGATATGATAATAGCAGATATGAGGCGGAAAGTAGGATTAGGAATAGCCTAATCTTGAAGATTCCCTGTAAACCTTTAATTCTCACCGGGGTTAACTTTAAGGCAACTGGACTGGGTTTTCGACTTCTGTTACATAGCATCTCTTTCCAGACAACATGATCGTCCTGGTCCCGGGTTCGGCCGAATTATCCTCAGGTTTCCGATTCTTAATGACGCCTTAGAGCACTGTATAGTACTCGTACAGTACATGCACAGTACTGCACCTGTATTCAGTTGAAATGCTCAAATTCTCTCGCGACACAACGGCACCTTTGCTTGGATAAACTTCGGCAAACAAGTCACTTCCGCACCCTACCGTACTGCACTTGCCCGCGTGCTGTAATGTAGCTATCATAGGTGAGAACCATAAATAGCCTTACCATCAGCGCTTTTACTCTCCTCCTTTGCATTCCTAGCATGGGCTCCTCGCCCGACTGAGAATGGAGAAATGGATAAAGCTGGTCGCACACGAGTGAATCACCGGTAGCCCACTCGTTAGTCAATCCTTAAAACCTTGATATGGATATGCGATTCCTCCCCACGAGGCACAACCTTCACAAGCAAAAAGCAATAGGGCAAGTAACAGAGCCCGTAAATTACAGTTCAGCTTGTAAGCAGCCTGGCTGGATCACGCCCGAAACACACCCCCGCTGTAGTTTCGAATGTGTTGCTGGGCGGGTAGTTATCGTGGTTCCGTGGAATACCTAGGTTGGTACGGGGGGTACGCATGGGGTGTGTAAATTTAGTATCCACAACCCAGAAATGGGGTTATGCGTTTCCACGCCCCCTTCGACTCCCGGAGGGTTTGAGTGGTTGTGAGGGAGGGGATCAAGGAAAAAAGAACTTGTGACCGGCTTGGGAGTGGGATTTTTTCTTCCTCTCCTTCCTTTTTTCCCCTACGCTCTTTTCTGTGCTCGAGTACTATTAAGGAGGCTTATTAAAGTTGGCGGTGGTCGTTCCCATATTTCTCGGCGATGGGACTTTGTGTCGCTGTATGTCTTGGTGCGGTAAGTTCGTCTCAGCCCCGGGGGAATCAGGGTGCTGGTACCGGTATTGTAGCTTGGTGGAGAGGTTTTTTCTTCTTTTCCTTTCCTCCTCTTCCTTGTCGATCCCTTATTCCTTTCTTTCCTTCTCTCCTTCTTTCCTCTCACTTTCGTTCACTTCTCTTCTTCTATGATACTGACCGAAATACACCGTCGGTGAAAGACCCGGGAGTTAGGTTGCTCTTCTGACCCCCTCCGCTGTCTAACCTAACTTATTTACCTATCATACCCTGCTGGTTTTTTTCTTTTTACTTTTAACCACCCCCCCACCGTCACCATCTATCATACCAATTTTTACGTTCTCCCGTCATGCCTCGACTTAAGATCCTCCGCCATCACCGCCGCTCGGCTTCGAGCCAGGGAAACACATCGGCCGTACCACCTCCCTCAAAGTCCCCTTTATCCATAGCCTCCACTTCCTCTACCAACTTAGCTTCGCCACATCCACCGCCACGGACTTCCCCGCCTAGCGTCCCCCCCCTCGATGCTCTCCCTCCGATAAACAGTGGTTCTCCAGGGCTTGGTTCACCGGTGCAATGGCTCGCGGAGAGCACCGCTGGCTCATCCCGACCGGATACTTCCAATTCATCGCACGTGTCGGAGCCACCGACTACGGCAAAGGCGACGGTATCTGCTCCTCTAGCCCCTCTGCCACCTCCACCACCTCGCCCACGCTCGCGGAGCTCGAAACCATTGTCGGCAAAGCCTGTGCCGAGCGTAAAGACGTCCACGTTATCGCAGCAGGTCAAAGCTGCAAACGCTGCTTTGGCAGCTCAACCTCCTTCTCTTGTTGCTCCTGTCAGTGGGTCAAGTTCTCACCATAACCCCGGCAGCAATAGTAGTAGTAATAATGCTGCCAATCAGAGCGGTGGCGGTGGCGGACACCCCATCTCGACGACGATAACTTCCTCGTATCGGAGAAACGCAAAACTAACCCTCCTAAACCCCATGTCGCTGCTCATGCGGAGGCGCTCTTCGCAAGCTGGTGGTTTGCTCAGCGATAATGCAAAAGCTCGAAACTCAAGGGATCTCCCCGACGATTTCGACCCCGGCATTATTTACGGTACCAGACATCCCGATTGGTCGAACCCGCCAAAGAGGGGTCAGAGCGAGACAGTCCGGCCGCCGGTCAATGGGAGGTCGATATCGCCGTTGCCACCGGTTAGTCCGTTAATGGATCCGAATAATAAGCTGTTGAAAGTGGAGGTTGTCGCGGATGATGCAGGGGGCAGTGTGATTGACGAGCGCTTGGCCGAGTTGGAGAGGGAGCGGACGCCGGTTTTTAAGGAGCACTTTGATGAGGAGGTTGGACGGGAGCGGGGATCTAAGGATGTGGGGAGGGGGGTGGGGGAAGTGGGGGCTTCGCCAGCTGCGCCGCCTAGGGTCGCGCCGGAGCCACTTAGGGTTCCTACGACGAATCCTCCGCCGGTGAACGATTTGGATAAGCCTGGGGTGGTTGACGGTGGGATATTGCCTTCCTCTATTAGCTCGACGACACGGATTAGTAGCGCGTCTTCAGTAGTGTCCTCAAATGAAGGGGGCTTCGACGATGGGAAACCTCGGGGCGTTACTCTTGTTGACCACCCGCTGTCTCTGCCGCACCACTTGATGACCAATTCTTCTAGGTTCAGCTTTGAGGCGAGTAGCGCTGCCGAGTCGAATAAAGACGATGAACCGGAAGATCCGTATAACGGTGGTGAGGATGATGGCCAGGATGGTGATGAGTTGGGCTTGGAATTGGATTTCGAGGGTGATGATGATGATGAAGGGTTTTCCCGAGCAAATGAGGGATTGTTCATGTTGCCGAATGACGGCATGTACGGCAATGAGGACTATTTAGAGGATGAGGGGGGTGTTCCGCTGGCATTGAGGATTGATCCGAGTCACGAGATTGGCATTGCATTGTCGAAGGATTCGCCGATTGATGTTAATACTCCAACGGCACTGCTGAATTTGACGGAGATGTCACAAGTCCTTCCTGCCATGGATCCAGAGCCCGCTGCGGTTCAACCTGAACAACAATCGCTGGTTCAGCGATTGGATAATCCTCGGGGGTTGGACCTGAGTGGTGACTCAGATTTTGATGAACTTGAGCAAGGAAATGGAATGGCGGGTTACGAAGATGACGACGATGATTTATATTTTGATGACGGGTTTATTCTCGGCGATCCTCCCATTCAAGGTTCCGTGAATAACCCTAGCCGGGAGGAGGAAGTGGAAGAACCAATGAACAAGGAGCAGCGCGATTCCTTCCCCTCAACACTCGGAGTCTCCTCAGGTGGTGCTATGCAAGTCGAAGACGGTAGTCTCGACAGCCTCGAAAACGATAGTAACGACGACACAGCGGGTACCGGCGGTGGCAGCGGCTACGGAAACAAGAGCTTCCCGCCGTTCCTAAACCCCATCGGCGGTGGTTTGGGGTGCACCCAACAACAGGCGCAATTCTACGCTCCGGACGGGACTATTCTGGACGGACACACCGGCCTGCCGCTCGCACTGTCAACGCTCACCCAGCAGCTGTACCAATACCAAAGGCAACAACAACGCGAAGCCGAAGCCGCCGAGGCGGGTGAGATCAACAGCCCCGGCGCTATCAGTGGTATCGGCGGCGGGTACGAAAGTGACTACGCAGCAGACTGGGGCTCGCAGAGCGGGTACTACTCCATCGACGACGATGAATACGAACCAGAAGACACAGACGATAGCATGGTGGCCGAAGCGAATGCGGAGGCGCTAGCCTACGACACAGAATTCTACGGCCAGGAGTTCGGCTTCTACCCCGCGTCCTCCGCCCCAGGACTGCTTCCCACCGGGGACGACGACGAAAACGCTTTCGCCGGGGGCTATTTTGGCCGACCACCGGAACCCACGTCGAGGCCTATTATACGAAGACCCAGCTTAACACCGATCAGCGAGCGCAGCGAGGGAAGCTATCGCAACAGCCTGGTTTTCCCGGTATCCTCCAGTCGCCCGTTATCCGCTACAGTACCCGCGGGCGAGGACATTGGAAGCCTAATTAGCAGCAGCAACAGCGGCGGCGCGGAGATCACGCTGGAGCAGTTAATGCGCTTGAGGAGGAACGCCTGGGGCGGGAGTAATGGGAGTCTGAGGAGTTCACGGGGGAGCGGGGCGCACAGTCCTGTTCCTGCGAATAGTAGTTTGTTAGCGCAGGGCGGGATTTCCCCGCCGCCACCGATGCCACCCGGCTTGGCCGGCGGTGGAGGGGTGGGCGCCCCCCCAGGCCTTTCGCATCCTGGTAAAAACGCGATGTTACCGACGAAAACTAGTTTTGAAGACGCGGGACTTCCACCGCCCAGCGAGGCCGCTGCTACTGGAAGTGGGAGTGGGAATGGGAGGAGCACCGCGGATAGTAGTTATGCCAGTGCTGTTGGCTCCCCAGTTGGAGATTGTGACGCCGCGGACGTAGGAGATGGGAATGGGGATGTGAGCAGGGAGGGGTGGGTGTTTTCTGCTATTGCTGCTTCCTCTTCTTCTAGGTAGTTGTGTAGATTTGGTATGAGGGGCGGAGGAAGAGGGTGTATAGGGAGTGTCGGAATAAATCTCTTTTCTTTCTTTTCTTTCTCTTTTTGGGCAAAGTACTGGGATTCGGGCATTTTTACAGATTTTTTTTATTTCATAGTTAGCTTCTACGCTTCACTTCACCTTGTTGAGATTCTAGGTGGCATTTTCAGGGGGATGTGGTATGGCTTTTTCCCGCTCCCTCTCTCTAGCATACTCTTTAGAGGTACCAGTACGAGTACTTGTCAATTCCCATTCATCACCCCTTCTTGACTTCATCCCTACACCGCAACGCTTACAATACACTTTCATCAACCCGTCCATTACTCTCCATCGGCTCCGTAGCGTTCGAATAGTGCCATAAATTGTGGCTGTAAGGCGTAATGCCGAAAAACGGTGTCCTGCACCACAGATCTAACGTTGGTAATTGCCTTTCGCCACCCTTCCATGTCAGGTCGGAGGCGAATGCTCATAGATACCTGGGTCTAGTGGTGAATATCGGTTGCGCAGAGGGGGAAAGAAGGAAGTGCGAAAAACTCATACGGGCGAGTGGCCTTGGGAAGGAGGATTATGACTGGAGGGTATTAAGGGCTTTGTCCGCGAGTTTTTTATTATTATCCGCTATGCGGTTCGTGTGGTCTGGGATTGGATTTGTGGGTTGTTTTCTTTTCTTACTTACGGGTGGTATGGTGGTGGGCTGTTTGGTGGGTGTAAAGTATTGAGGTTTTTTTTTTTTGGTGATGGTTGGGTGGTGGTTTTGACTTCGCGTTCTATCCTTATGAAATGTTTGGCGAGTGATGGTTTGTGATGGGATGAGAGAAGGTATAATTTGCTTGCCTGCTTGGGGGGTGGCGTAGGTATAGCGGGGTGTATGAGAAAACTGGATTGGAGGTTAAATTTTGTATTTTTTTTTTGCGTGGGGTGTGCTAATGATGGTTTTCTCCCCGGTTTGGGGCGTAGTATACTAAGCATGTCGTCCTGGTAATTTCTTTCTGGGTTCACAGGGGATTCATCATGCTGTCTGTTTGCACCATAGAAAACCCTGGACCCGGAATTACCCCAAGATCATAGAGGGCGGTCATTCGCCGTATCATGCTCTATCCAATTGGTTCTTGAATAGCTAATAGGTCGATCCTGTTAACTTGTCTAATATCATCCGGTTTCGACCAGTGAGAAACCGGATCGTTAGAACGGAGGGATGTAGTGGATATAAAAGTACTGTGTTCTACCGAACAAAATCCCTTTTCCCGGACACAAGTTTCCTCACCAAGATTGGTGACAAGAATCGATATTTTAGGGTGACGACCCCCCATTTTGTTCGGCTTGTGTTAGTATTTTAAGCCTGAATGAATGGGGCAGAATTGGGATCGTTATTTACGATCGTATCCTATGATAGCAACACTCAAATGGAAGGCTGATCGTGCGCAAGGAAAAACTGCGGTGGAGGAAGTGCGACAATGGTACCGAGGGAGCAAGTACCATTGGAGGACCTTGAGTGGAAAGGAGTGTTCGTTATTCGATGTACTGTACATGCTCAAGAAAGACTCGGGGATAAAGGAAAGAACGAAGCTCTGCTAGGTACATGTCGCGGTGGCTAAGTCAACCTGTGTGCATTACCCCAAACAGCTCTCCGGGAGCATCAGATCTCACTGCGCCCCAACCTAATACCGATATCATCCCACGATGGAATTACTGAATCATGCTATAGATTGTAGGGAGCCACTCTGAGAAGACTGCTAATCAAAAGGAGATGCAAATATGGTCTGCTAACCTGGACCGTTTTGGCTATTGTTATCTACATGGTACTGCATTCAAAGCTAGCTCAGTCTCCAAGCCTTTCCTGGGCTGCACGAACTACAAGGTAAAAGGGCCCACGCCTCTGGTTTTGATATCTCCCACCCATCTCCTCACCCCACCCGTTCACCTCCCTATACGTAAGTGTAGTAGAGCAAACGCGGATCGACTATCCTCCCAGCTTCCGAGCTCGAACCGTCGGGGGGAAGGACGAAGCGCGATTGCCCGGGGGTAGGGGGTGGTGCCTACGCGATTTGGATGTTCAATTGCGATACCTCTGCTTGAACGACTTTGTTCGAGAGGTACCGGTATGGAATACCTTCCGCTCAGCCAACATTTTCTCTACGGGATTTACAATTTCTAGGGGTGGCGCGAAGTTGGTTGCATTATCCGTGCGTTTGATAGTGGGGTATGATATTTTGGTGGAGGATGGTGGGTATTAGTGCTCTGGGGTCGAGGGGGAGGATGATGCTTTTGGTTTGGGAAGGTGGGTTAATTAAACGCCTTGATCTGTTATTTTAGCACCCACAGTGATGCTGCACTGCGCTGTGTGAGTACAGTACAGTACGGTGTTTGACTGCCTCAATGAATATGAAAAGCTACGGTCCTTGTCGTCACGGAACCGGGCACGAGGTAGCGTGAAGAGCCTTCCGGCCTGGGTCGACTCCACGAAGGACTGTGTAGCGATGCATCGGGTCGGATTGTGTCTGGGATGTTAGGTTGATTTGTTCGTAAGGTTTGATGTACTGTACGTGCTAGAGAGGTTTTATATGGGTTTAATTATATTTGTTGCATTTTCAAAGTTGTACCTTTTTCGCATAACTACACCCATAATATTATGAACTGTAGGTATTTACAGAGCTCGTGGAGCATGGCGCAACAGCTAGCTGTTGACTAAGGCATGATAGCGACCGGTTTCTGCTCTGGATATGGTTAAATGAAGATCCTACTTCTATTCCCCTTTCGTGCGAGTGGCAACTTGAAGCTGGGCCTGAGAGGCGGTCCTCAATTTCTCACCCCGCCCGTCAGGGAAACCTAATACATTCGGAAGCCCCTTTGTTTATGATATTATTTCCCATTCCACTACCTTGGCACAGGTATCCTACCTTGGCCTACAAGGGAGTCGGGAGGAAGTATGGTTCAAGTGCCCATCCGCTCCTACTCTCCTTTTGCCCCCCACAACGTTTTTTTCTCCATCTTCGCAGAGCATTCTCTACGTCGCGGGTCCTTGTGCCCATGATTCCCTTGTCTAGACAGGGCTAGGCTTCCCATGTCCGGGCATTAGCGTTCGAATACACTATACGCTACTATATCTTAAACGGCCCTTGAAGCCTGACGAATGGTGTTACGCCCAAACTGCCGAAATAGGGCCGCCCGATCTCGATACCGGTGGTGTTCCCTGGACAAGACTTTGCTATCATAGTTTGCTGTCAAGGTCCGGTTGTCATATCGCAGACAAGGAGACTTCCACGGTCCGGTTAATCCACTTTACTCTTCAAGAGCACCTCCGGGCCCACCCCGAGCTTTTTGGTTTACAATTTAGAGCCTGCTGTTGGTGGCGGGGTTTGTCTATTATATCGGGATAAGCCAGTGCGTCTTGGGATTTTCATTGTAACCTATGTCCTTCTATTGCTCCTTTCTAGTTGTAAATTCTCTTTGCGCATTTATGGTTCATTTATCTCCGCTTCTATTGCGCACATTTTCACCCTTTCCCCTGAGGTGTTGATCTGAGGTTTCTTTAGATTTAGATATACAGTAGGTATAGTGAAAAAGAAAGCAAAGTGCAAGTCATTCTGACACTCATAAAATGTGATTCCAAAGCAGGCTATTAACTCAGGTGTGATGTTGATTGACTTACGCTCTAGACCGGGTTCAAAGATCGTCCTTCTATACCGCTTTCCTCCGCGTGTCAACTTGAAGACGAGCCCGGGAAGCCGTCCAACCTTTTTAGTCTCGCTGACGAAGTAAAAGTAATACCGCAAGGAGTCTCTTTTACCCACCAAACTGCGGTATCGCTCTCGTTCTACTAGTGCTTGTATCCTACCCCAACTTGTTAAGAGCGATCCGGCAGCCCATAATGATGTGCAAATCGAGCTATCATACAGGTGAGTTTTTGAGAAAATTTCCACCCCATCGTTTTCTCCTTTTGCCCTACCACTATTATGCCTGCTCCTCCCAGGGGCATTCTGCACAATACTCCGGTCAGGTGTCGCATGCTATATGTTCTTGGGTTCCTCACAAAGGCATCGAAAGCACAGCCATGGGGTGACGTTACCGCTCGAATACGTGGCGCCCTATCGCTTTTTAAAAAAGTTGATATCGTCCCTAAATCCAAGCTGCGAGGCAAAATACCCTGGAACGGAATCCAGCACCACAAAAAGTTTTTGCCGAGTGATACTGTCTTTTAATATGTGCAGCTCATGCGGGGTCGAAGTGATCACGCTCAGACATCGGCGCCCATCAAAGTGGTGAATGTCGGTCATATAAAAGAAAGCCCCGACGATGCAGTGATGGAGTTTGGATAAATTAACAGTGCCCCCGGTGGTTTTTGGACCGCCTTACAACATCTCCGCACAAAATCTGTCCCACGCCACACGGTATCTCACACCACCACTTTGTTAAGCTCTGAACTTGACTATTTTCTGTACCCACTCATGCTCAAATGGCGAGATTGGTCGGGTACTCCACTCCCGGCCGAAGCGTAAACTTGAGGAATATTGTATATCTACTTGTCTCGATCGCCTACTCGATAAGTTAAACTAATAATCCCCTTGTTCCTCAATTTTGACGCTCTGTACGTATTGCGGGTAGATGGACGGGCTCGTCACGACTTATCGGCGGTGGAATGGCCGATGGGTTGAGTTGTGTCCGTATACGGTAGACGAGGGGGTTTTTGGTTGCTACTATACCTTTTCTGATTGTGCTATGGTTGAACGGACCATTTGGTGATCGGGATTCGGTCGGTACTAGCCAGTGGGGAGGACTGGATCGGTGGAGATGTCAAGATTATCGATGGGGTGGTCTGCGATGTTGGTTAACTGTGGATCTGAGGACGGGATTGGGCTTTCTCTTTCCCTATTACGTCGTGTCTAACTATCCAATGTCCCCTTTGGGATCTACGAGTACTGTAAAGTGCTTTGTTTTCTGGGTAAGTTTAGGGCCGGTTGCCGTACAAGCACCAGGCAATATGTTTTCGCACACACCAATGTGGCTTACCAGCAAAAAATCCTTAAAATCTGGTGGGTCACAAACTGGTGTGTACTGCGAACCTCAATGAATAGAAGGAAAAGGGCAAGTGCTGACAGGCTGCGATATTAGCTCATTGGGGATAGACAAGTTGTGTGATTGGTCCGGAGGACAAAATATTACGGTTGCGTGTTTTTACTTTGACTTCGCGGCACGGGAGG